GGCTACACTTAGAGACAGACAACCAAGCACACTCACATTCACACCTACGGACAATTTAGAATCACCAATTAACCTCAACATGTTTTTGGACTGTGAGAGGAATCCGGAGAACCCGGAGAGAACCCACGCTGCACGGGGAGAACATGCAAACTCCACACAGAAAGATCCCGGGTGTCGTCAGCTGGATGTGAACCGGCGACCTTCTTGCAGCGAGGCGACAGTGCTAACCACTGCTCTAGAAATCTGTGGAAAAACTGTAACAAAGATGGCCGTCGTATGATGTTTTTGTAAAAGTCAAACCAGAAAGCATCAAACCAACATGCTGCACCAACACAAAGTTAGTGCTGTGAAACTGTGTACCTACAAAACGGACTCTAACTTTATTTTTTTAAAATTTAAATAAAACCTAGCAATCATCACATTTGAAAGGTGACTCTACATTCAGTCTTCGTGTCGTAGTAATCGTTAAAACTGCAGTTATGTTTCTCTCCTCATTCATTTAAACAGGAACCTGATCTTTCGTTGGACAAACAGAACTACCTGAAGCGATCTTACCAAGATGGCTGCTGAGGGGCTTGACCTGTTTATGAGGACTTAGACTAAACTCCACAGGCTCAACATCAAACACACATTTCTTTCTACATTTTGTCAAAGCCACAGCGACTCAGTCCAAAGCTCACACAGACAAGTCGACACTTTATGCTTGTTGGTGCAGCATTTGTGGCCTGTCAGGAGGTGAGGGATGTCAAACTGAACTACACAAGTGGGTAGAAGAAGTAAACACCAGCAGGTCTGTCCTCAGCGCTGCTACAGTCCTGCGGTCCGAATCCCTGCCTGCACTCTGGTTGTGTAAAATTCCAACAACATTTATTTACTGCGTGCTTTGATGATGCCGTCGTTCGGGACAAACTGTGCTTTGGCCGACAGATTGTTGTAGCATCTGTGTCGTCCTGCGTCCAACACAAAGTGCTAAATCTGAGCCTCTTTACGGAGCAGAGTTGGTTCTTTCTTCACGTCTCCTGAGTGATCGTGTTTGTTGTTTGTGTTTTTGCTCCACAGAGGCTCATTTATTCCAGTGTGCTGGGCAAAGCACACCAGTACAGGATCGTTCCGTCTCAGATCCTCAGGAGGATTCTGCTCGACCATCTCTGATTNAGTTACTTTATGGAAATATGTATCACTGGAAGAGCAGGAAATGGTTTGTTTTGGATGTGATTCGAGTCAACATCAGAAGGACTAACACAGAGCTTCTGGAACTGTAAAATGTATTTCTAAACGAGGTGACTCCAGTGTCCTGTGTCTTCCAGTAATACATTTATTTTCACACCACACTAACTCCTTCTACCTTCACTACTAACCCCGACCAGCTTTAACCGGTGTCACATGTGAATAACGTCCTGGTTTGTGTTTCTCACGCTGGGATCACCAGACGGCTCCTCCGGTTCGTCCGACGCACAGACGCTCACAGTCTGCGGGTGGGGAGAAATGGGTAGACCACAAACCAGCCTCTAATTTGGACCTAGACACTGTCATGCAGCCAATCATACCCAATGCAATCAAGGTGTCGACCCCCAGCGAGAAAGCTCTGTCTAAATGCCACAAGTACGTGCTTAGACATCAAGAGCTCGCCTCGGACGGGGAGATCGAGACCAAACTGATCAAGGTAAAATCACTTCACTGCTTCATTTGAGGTTTTTTTTTATATCTTGCATGAATTTTGACTTAATTCTTTGATTTCACTGTGGGCTTTATGTGTTAATGTCTCACTGCTGCCTGTTATGTGATATGTGTCTCTGCCTTTGCTCACCTTTGGACATTTGTATGAGATTTTTATTTGCTTCTTCAGGGGAATGTTTTTAAAACCAGAGGTGGAGGACAAGCTGTGCAGTTTACCGACATTGAGACACTAAGACAGGAGTGTCCAACAGCACCAAGGTACAGAACTTATCCAA